ATATTTTGAAGGAAATAGTGCGCAAGTCAATTGGGGAGGCTGAGGTAAAAGCTTCAACGAATCTAATCCTTTAAATTAAAGAAATAAATATTTGATCATAACAAATTCTCTGTGAACATTACCAACCAACAGGATCTGAGGAGGTTCCCCTCTCTAAAGGCTGAACTGGCTGCTGCCTCTTTTGAAGCTTTAGAAAGATTTCGTGAGGATAGCAAGAAAACAACACTGCGACTGGTCGATATGGAGTCATCATATCTAACAGTTGAGTTCTTCAGGAAGCTTCCACAAGAGGTTGACAAGGGAGGAAATCCTGCTTCAGCCTCCACTGTCGATCGATACGGCGAAGGCCATTACAGGAGAATTGCATCAAACGTTTCATCCTACATCTCCATGGTGATGGAGACGCTCAAAATCTCTGTGCCAAAGGCAGTCGTTTACTGCCAAGTTCGAGAGTCAAAACGTTCTTTGCTTAATCACTTTTACACGCAAATTGGGAGAAAGGAGGTACTGTATTATGGAAAAATATTGATGATCTCTTCTTTTTTCTTTCCTTCTAAAGTTTTCTCTTGTTTTTACGAGTTTTTTGTTGATGTTGTTCAGGGAAAGGATCTGGGAAAGCTTCTGGACGAGGATCCAGCATTAATGGAGCAGAGGCAACAGATGGCGAAGAAATTGGAGCTCTACAAAGCTGCAAGGCAGGAGATTGAGTCTGTCTCGTGGTCCAGATAAGTGTTCATTGGTGGTTTCAATATACTTAGGCATTGATGGCGATGGCATAGAAGAAGTTTCTCCAGATATGGAATGTACAGTTTGTAAGTGAATAAAGAACTCTGCAATTGACTTATTTTGAAAGAAAATTTTGTCTTGAGATAATTAATGGTGGAGAAGTATGTTTTTTATTGATTTTAGTACTGCATAATTGATTTGTGTTTGTTAAAGAAGAAAGATTTATGTCAAAAGTTATAGTCATTGAATTCATATATTTTGGGGTATTGATTATGATGATATTTTCAAAGATATTTGAAGTGAGATGTTTTGATTAATAAGTGAAAAATTAAAAAGATAGAGAAAATATGTAGAGGATATTAGAATTAGCAATTATTGGAATAAAATTAAATATAGGAGGATATGCAATTAAATAATTATGAATCAATATTGATAAACTAATATCTTGGAGATTTATTATAGAAAAGAATGTAGGGAAGAAATATCTCAACAGTCATCAAGTTGATATCATGGAGCCTTAAAAGATAAATTTTATAAAATAGTCATTAAGTTGATGATGATGAAAAAATAAATTAGGTTGAACAAATATCAGACTTGTGCCTAAATTTATTAAATAGTTAAAAAGTCATTAATATATATGTAGAATTTAATAAAAATAAAAATATTTAGACTGATATTTATCTAGGTATACTAGCCTTACTAGGAGAATGAAA